CCAGGATGCCCGCTTCACCATGGTGACATTCACTACTTTATTCTTATCATCTAGCAGAGGCCTTGCTTGGTGAAGAGGATTGGATGGGTGCTAGTGGCTGACTCCTGTAATCCTAGCTACTCAGCCAGCCTGAGCAGAAAAGTTCATGAGATTCTTATCTCCATTAAAAACAAAACAAGGGGCTGGAAAGGTGGCTCAACAGTAGAGTGCTTGCCCTGGGTTCGATTCCTCAGTGCCACATAAGGAGAAAAAGCCAGAAGTGGCGCTGTGGCTCAAGTGGTAGAGTGCTAGCCTTGAGCTGAAGAGCTGAGGGTCAGCACCCAGGCCCAGAGTTCAGGCCCCACAACTGACCATTAAAAAACAAACAAACAAAAAACAAACCTGAAAAAAGCCAGAAGTGGTACTGTAGCTCTAGCGCTAGCCGTGAGTGAAAGAAGCTCAGGGACAGGGGCTGGGAAGGTGGCTCAGTGGTAGAGCGCTTGCCTTGCATGCCAGAGGCCCTGGGTTCGATTCCTCAGCACCACATAAGCAAAAAGAAAAGAGCCGGAAGTGGCACTGTGGCTCAAGTGGTACTAGCCTTGAGCTGAAGAGCTGAGGGACAGTGCCCAGGCCCATAGCTCAGGCCCCATGACCGGACCCCCCCCCCCAAAAAAAAAGCTCAGGGACAGTACCCAGGTCCTGAGTTCAAGACCCACAAAGGATTGAGGAACCGGTCCATACTTGTCAACATTTGCATCCACTAGGAACTACAGAATTCCAAACCAGGCGAGAGAAGGCTTTGGGCTAGAAAGGGAACAAGGTGGTTAACAGGCCAGATTCACTTAGAGATGCTGCTAATAGATAAGTATGAAAAACAAAAACAAATGACAATCACAAACTAAATACACACAACATATTGAAATGACTAATTTATAAACCCAGCACTTTGGTGCTTAGAAACACAAAAGGTTAACTCCCACCCCAAAGTCAGGGAAGAAAAGGATAGTAAAATACATTCAAAGCGGGGGAGGGGAGCTGGTACCTCACCCCTATAATCAAACCAGCTCTAGGCAATAAAGTTCCATAACTGTTCTCTCCAACTGGTTACCAAAAAGCTGGAAGTGAAGTTACTGAAAACACAGTCAGAATGGCATGTGAAATGACTTAATTTGTGAACATCTACAGGCTTCATGTTTTCCAAAATGACCTCTACAACTCATAGAATGGGGAACTCATAGATCCTATAAGATCCTACGCCACACAAATTCTTTCTCACTTCTCCATGCTGACTAAAAAGACAAACTCTAAGTTATCTTTTTCAAGATACATTTCCATCTCCAAGGGTCATTATTATTTAAACAAGAAAGGGTAGAAGAATCTAGTTTACCGTACATTAACTGTACTTTAACATCTGTTCCCAAGTGAGACACCCAAGTTTAATGTGGATAACCTAACCATAGTCCTTGACATGTTTAGCAGAAAATAATTATTTTCCCTTAATAGTTACCAAGCCACACACAAATTAGAAAGCAAGGAAGGGTCTATGGCCTCTTGCTAAGACTGCTGAGTGACTGATCGCTTCAAAATTCACCCTAACAGTCTAAATCAATTATTCATTGTAACTGGAGCAGAATATAATTAATTATGTTAGCTTGACTGGTTCAAGTTTAACTCCACTAAAAAGATCATTATAAAAAAATCATTAGGAATATCAGTTATTACCATGAATTTCTGCTAAAATGAAAACAGTTCCGTGTCTCTATGACTTCAATTCACCCCCAGATTTTTGTTTAATGCAGGGAGCACTCGTTAAAAAGATTATTCTTGTATGTTAAGAGACAATATTCTAACTTTTCTATCAATGATCTTTAAAATAAAAAAAAATTTAACTCCCAAATTCCACTTTTTTGGAGTTTATTTTTAAGCTTAGGATTTCCACACAAGAATATGAAAAATAATCAACAGTCTAGTCTCTATTAAATAGCGAGGAAGTGGTTAACATAAAAAATACAACGATAGGGCTGGGAAGGTGGCTCAGTGGTAGAGCGCTTGCCTTGCATGCCTGAGGCCCTGGGTTCGATTCCTCAGCACCATAAGCAAAAAGAAAAAAGCCGTAACTGGCGCTGTGGCTCAAGAGGTAGAGTGCTAGCCTTGAGCTGAAGAGCTGAGGGACAGCACCCAGGCCCAGAGTTCAGGCCCCACGACTGGACCCCCCCCCCAAAAAAATACAACTATAGAATAAAATATTTAGTCATTAGGACAACGGACATACACTATGAATGTCTATATTATGCTTTCAGTCTTGGGCAAGAAGGCCCAAGGCTGGAACTCAAAGCCTGGGCACTATTTTTTACCCATTTCACTGAAGGCTGGGGTTCTACCACTTGAGTTCCACTGTCCACTTCTAGCTTTTATGGTTAATTGGAGATAAGCATCTCATGAACTCTCCTGACTGGGGTGGCTTCGAACCTCAATCCTTAGCCTAAATTGCCAGGATTACAGGCATGAATCACCATGCCGGGCTTGTCCACAAATCTTAACTGTGCCAATTGTATCATTCTGTCTCCACTGCATTCAGATTTGGCTTTTGTGGGGTTGCCAAGATAGACATGATTTCTCAATCTGCTTCCCAATTTCCAGAATTTTCTTCTCATTCATTTCTCCTCTTCCATTCATCTTGTCCTCGTGGTATTATCCCAATCATTTTAGTGGAGATTCAAAGAAGAGAAGAACTGAATAAATATTTTACTCAGCCCTCTATTTTTACCTAGTATCTGGTTGTTCTCTGTAGGAGAGAAAAGCTTACCAATTATAAAGTACATAAATTGTGAATGTAACAGTACTTCATCTGTGTATATATATCTAAGACAAATAATATAGCAAGATAGAACAGAAGGGCTCCACTTGTATCTTAAGGGTTGATTCCAGAAAACAGTAATGGAAATATTACACCCATAATAAATGGAAAAAGTTCAACCAATGGATGGTGGGCTTTGTTTGGTTTTTGTCTTGATCTGCTGCTCGGGTTGGTTTTGAACTCCTAGACTTTGGTGATACTCCTACCTTGGTCTCTAGTATAGCTCAGACTACAGATGCAAACCAATATGCCTAACTTTCAAGTTTGTTGTTGTTGGTGGTGGTGGTGGTCGGTTGTGGGGCTTAAACTCTGGGCCTGGGCACTATTCCTGAGCTCTTCAGCTCAAGGTGAGTGCTCTACCATTTGAGCCACAAAGCCACTTCTGGTTTTCTGGTGGTTAACTGGAGATAAGAGTCTCACAGACTCTCCTGCCCAGACTGGCTTTGAACTGTCAGCAGCTAGGATTGCAGGTGTAAGCCATCAGCGTCTAGCATCAATTGTTTCTAATCAAGAATATGAAATGCTGAAACTAACTGGGTGCCAACGAGACCACACCTGCAATCCTTGCACTTAGGAAGCTGAGGACTGAGGATCACTGATTCAAAGCCAGCCTACGAAGCAAAGCGCATGAGTCTTATCTGCAATTGACCACCAAAAAGCTGGAAGGGGAATTGTGACTCAAGTGATAGAGCACCAGCTTTCAGTGAAGTCCTAGTATAGGCACCAACGAACCAACCAACCAAATAAACAAACAAAAAAGCCCAAGATGAACCACATAAAGCTATTTTTTTTTTTTTGCCAGTACTGGGGCTTGAACTCGGGGTGTAGGTTCTGTTCCTGAGCTTCTTTGGCTCAAGGTTAGTGTTCTACCACTAGAGCCAGAGTGCCACTTTTGAATAGTTTATTTGGAGATAAGAGTCTCACAGCCTTTCCTGCCCAAGCAGGCTTCAAACAGCAATCCTCAGATCTCAGCCTTGAGTAGCTAGAATTACAGGCATGAGCCACCGGTGACCTGCTTAAAACGATCTTTTCTTTAAGTAATTCTGAAAACAACAGCCTGACACTATGGGGAATATTCTAAGTCCAGAAACAGTAAACATTTTGTTGTGAGTTTGTGCCTAAACTTAGAAAACTGCTCCAAAGCAAACAAAGTTCCAAACAGACTTGAAATAATTACAGGAAAAAATGACAAATGGATAATTATCTCAATTAATGAAGAAGGAAAGTTTCATGACTAACTAGATGTAATATATTCATTTTGGTGGTCCCCAATTAACAAAGTAAATCTAATACTAAAACATTGCAAGCTGAGAACCTGTGACAAGTACCTGAAATCCAACTACTCAGGAGGTAGGGGCAGCATGATCATGAGTTCAAAGCCAGCCTAGACCACAAAATGAGACCTTGTCACATACAAAAAATAAATAAAATTCTTCTTTGGACCTTTACTTATTCAAGAGATGTAAATCATTTAGTCTTAAAAAAAAAGAATTTGGGGCAGATTTCTCCAAACAGAGTACTACTTTAAGCATATAATTCCTCTTCTAGGTAGTACTTGTCAGCTTTTTATTTGCATTGACTCTGACAATACAGGAAAACTTTGGATCAAAAAATTTTAAATGTATTCAGCTAGATCTCCCTCCAACTACACCAGAGTCTTGTGCATGATAGGTATCAAAAATACTACTACTAAGCTACATTGCAGCTCTAGATGCTTAAAACCAGGTGCTCTCTAGACAGCCTACACTGGCCTTAAACTCACTGTCCACCTGCCTGAGTCTTCTGAGTGCTGGGATTACAGGCATGTGCTTCCACACCTGGCTAAACTAGACCTTTAAAACAAATGAAGTACTTAGCATTCCAGGTTTCAAAAAATAAAATAAAATAAGACCACAAGTTTCCAGTATGATTCAGCTCTTCCTGCAAGAGAAGTACTGAATATTGATTAGATATAGTGAAAAACAGCTGAGACTGAATGTTTTAAAATGTCCTTTTTTAAAAAACATTTTCCTACACGGACTCCAAACTACAAATAAAGCTACCTACACTTGTATGGGAAGAGCAGTCTATCTGCATAATGATGTCTTTCCTTTAGGAAGGAGAAGCTGCCTGTGGGGAACTCCTTTGACAGTTCCCAGGGTTCAAAGAGCATAGAACCTTCAAGTTGATTTCATCAAGTCTATTTATTAATGCATTTCAAGTTTCAAAAAACCTTACATCTTTGCACAATACTTTATTTTTTGCAATTTTTAGTAAAAATTTCCAAAGTGAACAAAAAAAGATACTGTATAAAACACAGTGGACATTAAACTGACAGTAGTATTAGATCTCATGTCTCTTGATCTTTGCATTTTACCACATCTTGATTTGCAGTGGAAAGAGTTCAGTGCATGTATCTCCTTTCAGAACACATTTAACTTAGACTCAAAAATAAAGCAGAGCAGTCTGTCCCCACCAAAACCCTACCACAGGATAACATTACAAGCAAAAAAATGTACATGTCTCAAAGTCTACCACACCCAAGAAGTTACTAAGAACTCTTGCAGAATAAAAGTCACCAGTTTAGAAATGCAGACCCACTTCCAACCTTTGCACAGTCCAAAAACAAAGGCATTTAAATGATTTAAAAGCAATTTCATACATATCTACCTACTGGTTTGTCGAGAATTATTTATAGTCTATCTGGGGTTTCATGTACAAAATTTTGTCTCTAAATCATGTACAAAAAGCTGTATTTTGAAAAAAGTCACCACATCCTGTACAAGTTAACAGGAAGAGATCCCATTATTTTCTCTAGCATTTTTTGGCCTTGCTGGCGTGCGTCACATTATGAGAATGATTGTGTAAACCTTATACTCTTAAGAAAAAGGAAGGAACAGCAACAACAGAAGGGGAAAAAAAAGCCAAACCATAGAAATCTCAGCCTTCCCTAATTCTGCCTCTTACGTGAAGCAAAGGAAGTTGTAGCTGTTTATTTCTAACTGAAATGATGTAGCTGGAAAACAGAAGCAGTAAATAATGTCACAAGCTTAAGTTTCTTGTAATGCCCCTTCCATTTCCTGCATAGCAATAAGCCTGTTAATACATCAAATGCTTTTGCTTTCTCTCTTAAAAAAAAAAAGCCAGTTATTTACATCTGCTTACAAAATAAATTTGGAATGGGACATTGTGCTGTTTTGCCTTCAGTTCTATTAAAGGATCTCAGGGAAAGAATATCAGAAGGCCTATCTACAACTTGAACTACTCCTGTCTGTAGTGGTTAGCCATGATCAGTGACAATATGCTGAAAAACCTGTTCAAATGTTTCTGTGAAGACACAGCTTCTCTTTTCCTTATCAAACAAAAAGCACATTAGCATACTTTAGATAGATGAAAAATACAAATATAAGTAGGCTAACAAATGAAAAGAAATCGGTTCACGGATAGAACTGCTACCAAAGCATGAATCCAAGTTCACCTAAGCAATTCAAGAGGATTCGGGTTAGGAGGCATCACATCTGTAAGCAGAAAGCAGACGTGTACATGAAGAGCTAGCTGTGAGCGGTATGCGGATGTCCAGTCTGACCACACTCCACTGTTCTGCCCAGCACAGCCCCTCCAGCTCACGGCAGCCATTCCATAAGGGAGAAAATGCACGAAGAACCAACTCCAGCATAAGGAAAAGGGAAACTGATTCTTGGTTCCAAACTGCCCGTGGAAAGCATTACAAATCCTGGACCACTGAATACCACCACTCTGTTATCCTGAGTATGTCAATTAAACAGTAAGTTTGTTTGTTTGCTTGTTTTCATTAAGAGCGGAAAAATTTTATAATACAAAGAAACATCCATATTGCAATTTCTGTTTACAATTGCACACAGAAGTACAGTGTACGTAAGAAATACATGTCTGCATATAACAAGGTATGTACATTGGCAAGTATGTCTCCAATGTTGAGGTGGTCGAGCCTCCAATCCGTGATTGGCAGTTGAAAAAAAAAATAGATCTATTTCACTTTGTGGTATCAGTCTATCGAGAGCCAAGTCTGACTGCAAGTGAAGACAACGCAGCAGCGAAGAACAGGAAACACGGGCCCAGAATGATATTCTAAGACTTTGTGCCATTAGGTTAAAAATATTGTCCATAAGAAAATTGAGTTCCTTTGCCATCCCACCCCACCCGATCCCCAAATTGGAATTTTCAGGCTTTCAAATTTAAGTTAATTCCACCTGGTCTGAGGACATGATCTCTTGCCATTTTTTTTTTCTTCAACTATTATTTGTGAGGGTTTAGTTTGGAGATGACTTAATAGGTTTCTCTTTGGAGTGAAGTTTTCCCATTGTAGGCACTAGGAAGAACCAAGGCAAAAGCTGCAGTTTAACGTCTCATGTGTCCCATCTGATAACTCTCCCGGGGCCGCTGTCGCTGGGGCTGCTGAATGGGCTGTGGAGGTCTCCTCCGCTTCAAAGTGCCTGCAAGTCACGGACAGAGGTGGAAAGGTGAGTTGGCTATGAGCTGCTCTTCCCAGCGCCCGGCTATAGTCTGCACAGCCCAACACAAACCAGCAACCAGAGACTCTTTAAACTCTCTAGAGGCCAAATGAAACAACCAGGTGAAATCGTTTTGGTATTTGCTGCATTTAACACACGATATCCCGTTTCAAGATGTATTCAAATATAAAACATCATTAGTGAGGTTTTTCCTTTTTTTTCCCTAAGTCTTGAAGTGTGTTAGAGGTTTCATATTTAAGAATACATCTCAATTAAGACTAGCCATGTTTCAAGTACTCAGTAGTCGTAAGTGAACTTAGCATAAGGGGGCACAGTCAGCCCCGAGGCTGTATAAAGCCCTCAAAATTAGTTGAGGGAATGAAATTCTATGTAAATGGCCCTTGGAAGGCCTGCATTTATCATAGGCTGTTCAATAAGGGATCTACTAAGTGACTGGGCAAATAACTTCGCCTCTGATGTGCCTGGTGTGTACAACAGGAGCCACAACTGACTTATAGCCTGCTCAGGAGTTTCAGGATGAAAGTCTTAGCACTTTTCATTTACTGGGTCTACCAACAGCAGCTCTTTCCCCAATAAAATAAAACCAATTCACGATAAAATCTTGATTTCACTGAAAATAACTGTAATTGGTCATTGTACCAAAAGTATGAGCTGGTCCTCAGAAGTCCCTTAAGACTAACCCAAGTTCAGAGTGCTAATCCTATAAACTTAAGAAAAGCAATGCTATCAAAATCATATTCCCTCTGATCCCCAATTAAATCCCGTTCCCTAACATGGTTTCTGGGCTCCCTTGCCCTAAAACAGGTAACCACAAGGGAAAACAGAGAAACCTAAAGAACATCCTTAATTGTGAAGTCCTTTCTGTGGGGTAGAGACTTGGCCTGAGACAAGACAAGAGACTTCCTTCCTGGGAAGTAGGAGGGGCATGCGGTCACTCAGCTCAGGGTCTCACCACACTTGATGCTATCAGGTGTCCTGAGAGCAGCATACCTGAGGCTCTGATGAGAAGGTGCCTACCCTAAGACTCTCCTACACACTGGCATCTGCACTGCCTACAGGCTTCACTGAGCCATAGGGAAAAGGACCTTCCAGGCTAGAAAATATTTCAAGAGCACAGAGATTAAAAGCAGTAAAATCAACAAAATTATTTAAAAAACAGAAAGGACCTGTCATTTTAAAGCAGCTTAACTACCATTTATATACATACATACATATATATATATATATATATATAATAAAAACAAGGAAAGGCATTATGCAACAAAACAAGAAAACAAATACCAAGAAAAGTCAAGATTTCTAGTTGTAAGAATTGTTTGGATGTTTAGCATTAAATTGGCAGTCATTTGGTTGACGGGGTTGATAAAAAGCACACTTAAAACATCAAGCTGAGTCATTCACGCAACAATTTGCTCTTTAGGAGAAAGTTCTATAACATTAGTTACTAAAGACTCATCGATAATTGCACCTGCTCAATGTCTGTGAGTGGTGGAAGCACATGCTCAGCTGGAACGCCTTACCTGGAAGTGGTTTAGGCGGTGGCAACTTTGGATTACTACTTGGGGTGTGAACGCTGCAGATCTTGATAAATCCAGCCATTAGCATGATCAGGGCGATGCCCATAAGTAACACTGCCCACCAATGAGCCTAGAGACAAACAGATTTTCCCATTTAAAAAGCTAGAATATTCTAAAATATAAAATGTACAACAGAACATATCACATCTCCATTTTTAAAGAACATTTAGGACTGGCGGTAGGGCTCAAGTGGCAGAGTGCCAGCTGTGAGGGGCACAAAAGGAAAAAGGAATGTGTTTTATCATTTTAAAGGGGAACTAGGAGGCGGGGAATGATGGAAGGGACACCATTGATCAAGATGTATTGTACTCATAAAGTGATACGTTGAAATTCTTTTGTACAACTACTTAAAAATAAAAGTAAAGAAAGGTGAACTCAGAAGGAACTTCCATACTGACTTCCACCGTGGCTTCATTATTTACATTCCCACCATCATTTGTTCTTGCTAGCCATCTGACTGGAGTGAGATGGAATTTCAATGAAATTTTCCTTTCCTTTCCTTTATGGTGAAGGATGTTGAATATTTCTTCATGGATTTGTCTTTGTATTTTATACTCCTTTTAAGAACATCCTTTCAATTCATCTGTCCATTTATTATTTGGACTATCATGTTGTTTACTTTTTTTTGAATTCTCTATGTATTCTGGATATTAATCCTTTGTTCATTGAATAACAAAGCTTTCTTTTTCTCTCTCTCATTCTATGTTATCTCCCCATTCTGGTAAATTGTTTCCTTTGATGTGCAGAGCTTTTTAATTTGATGTAATCTCATTTGTCAATTCTTGCTATTTCCTGAGCAATTGGAGTGCTATTCAGAAAATCATTGCCTATGCCTATTTCTTCAAGTGAATCTATTTTTAAATGCTGGCAAACTCATTCAAAATTTCTAAAAGCAACGGGTAGTCACACAAAACATGTTGACAGGGCTGAATCTGGCTTGAAATCACAAGTTTACTTTGTTTTGTGGTACTGGAGCTTAAAATCACAGCCTTGAGCTGACGAGGCTGGCGTTCTATCATTTGAGCTCTATACCTCCAGCCCACAGGTTTACTTTTTAAAAGCTATTTCATATATCCTGCTGAGCCTGTCAGACTGTTTCCTATAATTTTCCTTTGTTTCCTATAGAAAATAAATTGCAGAATTCTACCCTTAGTATTTAGAATACCATTTCCCTTTTCCTTACTATATAAGTTTTCCATGGAATTCTATTTTTTTCTACTTTTATTAACCCTCAAATGTTAGTATCAAGAGGTAGAGTAGAAGGTTTCCTTCAGTCTATCTTGAGCAATCCCTAACCCCAATCTATATCAAATGTCAGCACAGCCCCTCAGTTGATTACTCTAACAACTACAACACATTTGCAAGTCCCCTCTGGGGAGACAGTGTCACTTGTAATGTGACCCAATCCCTGGGGTCAAGGGTCTTCCTACTACTTCAAATCAGTGACTATTATGGTATAGGACATGCTTCCATTCCTGATGTGTATCACACGCCCTAACACATTTCCTTCCTCTTCCCTGCTTACCACATGGCCACCACACTATAGTGACTCCAAGTATGGAATTGACTGTGCCATTCCTTTACCTAAAACTCTTCCTTTAAAGATTCCCACCAAAGCTCTCCAAGAATGACTGCACAAGAAGGCACAACAAATATAGTGTCAGATCAACAAATATTTACTAACATGGAGTATCTGAGCTCTCAAGAGCTTCTGGGCTACCTAACAGTGTTTCTGGACCTCCATAAGGTTTTCCAGGTAACTCATGGCTCAGAAGCCCAAAGCTTGAGAAGTTTTAGTGCCAACACTCCTAGATTTTCAGAACTTAGTGCCTGGGGAAATGAAACATGGTAGTGTATAAGAAGCAAGGAAAAGCTGATACAACTGGTATATTTTAGCATGCGGCTTTTTTCTTTTTTGCTAGGCTTGATTCTTTTTTAAAATGCTCCATTTGAAAGAGAATTATCAAAGGGAGTTAAAATACATGTTTTATCTTTTATGTATTATAAGATGGAGGGAAGTGCCTGATCTAATAAATGCAAATACATTGTATCTCAGAAGAAAAGATTACAATTTATCTACTAGTCTGGAAGAAAGGAGACTTGTCATTTAGTCAATCAATATTTACTGAGTGTCAACTTTTTTTTTTTTTTTTTTTTTTGGTCCTGGGGCTTGAACTCTGGGCCTGAGCGCTGTCCCTCAGCTCTTCAGCTCCTCAAGACTAGTGTCCTACCACTTGAGCCACAGCGCCACTTCAAGTTTTCTGAGTGGGTTATTGGAGATAAGAGTCTCACAGACTTTCCTGCCCAGGCTGACTCTGAACAGCAATCCTCAGATCTCAGCCACCTGAGTAACTAAAATTACAGGCGTGAGCCACAGGCACCTGACCTAAATGGTAGCTTTGTGCCAAGCTCTGACCTGGCACTGACACAAAGATGTTAAGAAAAACTGTAAGATGAAGAGAAGGTACCAAGTTCAAAAAAAGGCCTGGGAGTTAAAAACAAACAAAGAAAAACCATGAAGTCAACTCTGGGAAAGTAATTCTACCTATGAAACAGAGAGATATCATTCACTATAGTCAGTTACAAATAGCTGATGACAAATAAGAGTCAAAATGTACTAGTCTAACTTACTGTGCATTATTAGTTATAATTTAAATCAACAGAAAGAACATTCCAGATAATTCTATGTTTTCAAATTTGGAGAAACATGGACTTAAAAATTAATCCAGTTCAGAGTAATGCTTCATGAGCCTCAATAATCATTAACAGATCTGCTTGAAAAAGGTCCTGGTCTGACCTTGCTCTGTTTAACATTCCTATCATGCACAAGAAAATATATTAAAAAGATGGGAAAAACTCTTAGAAATCACCATCTTCTTGCTCATCTCTCAGCAAAGTAGAACCCATAGTTGGCTATCTGTCATACTGACATTAGGGAGAAATATAAAATGCAAGCTGAGCTTTCCAAAACAACTTAAGGAAGAATTCCCATGAAAATGCTCTACCCACCGAGGCCACAAGGGAAGGAGTAGAGTGGAACAAAAGATTCTACCAGCTGATACCACTATGCATGAGCACAGGTGGAGATTCTGATCACTGCGGAAGGAAGTAACAAGCAGGGATATTTAAAGTTCAAAAATCTGCATATAGAGTAATTCCATATAAATAGGAAGTGAGCATTTTCCCCACAACAGTGACCTTTGATCAACTAAAATTCAGATCAAACCACTTTAAGCTAGGGTTTTTTTAATCAAGAAAAACTATCCTTACCACAATCCATTCGGCAATGTTTTCATAGAGCTGTGGACTGAAAATTGCCTTCTTAAGCCTCGCAAGAGGACCATCAGCATCTACTAATCGACACCGCATGAAGACATCACAGTAGCCCCTGAAGTCATTGCAAGGAGACCCAGGCTGCAGCGTGATGGTCCTGCCACTGAACTGTCTGTTCCACTGCACAGACCCTGTGCTGGCACAAGTTGATGGATCCACTGGAAAAGAAGGCCCTGTGTAAGTCAAAGGTCAGATGTCCTACTGGGCTAGGAGGGGGAAGAGAAAGAAGAAGAAGGAATTGCCTAAAACCATCACTAGGACATGTTCAACGGACCTCCACTAGTGAAGCGGGACACTGCTGTCAATATGACCATATAAACATGACTTAGTGCCTACCACACTCATATAAATTACTGCCATAAAAGCTGGTAGTGTATTATTTCATAGCATTGCAGGGACCATCATGCTAGAGACATAATACTACACTTGATTAAAAAGTTCCTTAAGAGGATAGAGTTAGTTGCACACTGTTGTCCAAAGTAGATGCTGAAGCTGAACAGTTAAAATGTAGGGAAAATAGTCTTTGTCCTCCCGCAGGGGACAAGCCTTACTTTTCTTCATACAGCAGACGTGGCATAACTCCTTGTCATCTTTGCCATCAGAGCTGGCACACGTGCACTCCTCCAAGTCATGCTTCTCACAGATGGAACCTGCGCATTGCTGGCAGGAGACACAAATTATTCACAGTCATCGATCGGCAGGGCTAAGCTTCCGATGTCAAAGCAATAATGTGGAAATACAAGTTAATAACCAACAGAGCTGGGGATGTGGCTCTGTGGGAGAGCGCTTGCTTGGCATGTGCCATCCCCAGGATGGCAAAACAAAAATGAAAACACAAAGATGAATCAGCACTGGGATCATATAAACACTGATGGAGAGTAATGCGAATAAAACAGCACAACCTTTCAAGCAGCAGCAAGAAGGGAAAAAAAAAACACACAAAAAAAAAACCCTGCACTGAATCCATACAGAAAGAGATCAGATGAGTACTAACTCCACACTGGTTATTCTGGCTCCTCAGGAGAAGAAAACAGATCTTTCTTGTGCAGAAGAAAGTGACAAGCATGAAAGCATGCAGAGAAAATGAACAGAAAGAGTCCATGTATTAATTTAGAAATCCTAAAAGCAGTATAGACACAGCCAGTGCCTAGCTGTGCCATGATGTTTCTCCAGAGAATAGGGTACGTGTGGCTGGAAAAAGTCACCAAACACGTGGGCTTTGTGGGAGAACAGATGGGGATATTACTGAAACAGAGACCAACAACATTAATTACTTTTTCTCTTTGGAGACAAGATCTCACTTGGTACTCAAACTGGCCTGGAACTTGCTAGTACCCCAGGCTGGCCTCACACTTACCATCCTAGCCTCCCAAGTGCCAGGATTACAGGTGTATGCCACCATACCCAGCAAAGATAAATCACTTCATGTAGCTTTCAGTGTCAATAATCATTCTGAAAACATAGATTCTATAAAATTAAAAATTAACCCATGACACCAAATGCTTACCCCGTTAATGCACACTTGTGTGTGTCTGTTACAGTCTGTAAAGTTTGGCTTGGGATCAGATGCAGGGCAGAGAGCTGTGATGCCATTACATATTCCTTCTTTTGCACAGTCGGAATCGTCCCGACACTTCTCAGACTTGGACTTAAATGCACACTGGGCTGTACAACAGGGACCTTGACTGGGACTAGAAGAAACAACAGATGAGTAAACCGAGTTAAGTCTTAGGTGTTTTCTTTTTTTTTTTTTTTTTGTCGGTCGCGGGGCTTGAACTCTGGGCCTGGGCGCTGTCCTTCAGCTATTCAGCTCAAGGCGAGCGCTCTACCACTTGAGCTACAGCGCAGCGCCACTTCCGGTTTTCTGGTGGTTTATTGGAGATAGGAGTCTCATGGTCTGTCCTGCCGGGGCTGGCTTTGAACCTTGATCCTCAGATCTCAGCCTCCTGAGTAGTTAGGATTACAGGCGTGAGCCACCAGCGCCCGGCAAGTCTTAGGTGTTTTCTATATACGCATGGATCAGCCTCATTTTTGGATCGTCTTTTTTTTTTTCCTTTTTTTTGGTGCTGGGACCAGGCGCTTGAACTCTAGGCCTCACATTCTTGCTTGGCTTTTTGGGGGTGTTTTTTTGTTTTGTTGGTCATGGGGGCTTGAACTCTGGGCTTGGGCGCTATCCCTCAGCTCTTCAGCTCAAGGCGAATGCTCTACCACTTGAGCTACAGCGCCACTTCTGGTTTTCTAGTGGTTTATTGGAGATAAAAGTCTCACAGGCTTTCCTGCCCTGGCTGGCTTTGAACCATTATCCTCAGATCTCAGCCTCCTGAATAGCTAGGATTATAGGCATGAGCCACTGGTGCCCGGCTTCTTGCTTGGCTTTATTGCTCAGATCTGGCATTCTGCCTGTTGAGCCATATCTCTAGCCTAGCCTTTTTCCAGGAACTGGAATCCCACTGTCTTTTCTGCCCACACTGTCCTGAAATCTCAACCCTCAGTTCTCAGTCTCCTGAACAGGTAAGACTACAGACATGAAATATCACCCTTGCCCCCATATCTGGCAAGCCTCATCTTTTACATGTTACTGAATAAGAAACTACAGGATTAAAGGAGGAGGCTGCAATGCTTGGTAAGAAATGTACGCATTATCCTGCTCATGTAATTGTAACCCCTCTGTACAGTATGTTCACAAATAAAATAATAAAAAAAAGAAACTACAGGATTAAGAAACTACTATATTTGAACATTCCAGTGAGTACAGAAAAGAGTTGAGCATCTGGTTTTTATGCTCAAAATACTACATTTAGCATTCTTTGCCTTTGTGAAATGCTCTAATAGAAAATGGATTTATGAGGTAACTTTTTTTCATAGCTACAATATGTATTATATTATATATTATGTATCAGTTTTTCTCATATTTTATTCTAAAATCAAACCAAGGTACAGACCAGATATTTTTAAAGTATTGTACAAACCAGATTCCGCTGCTTATAATTTAAAACTAGTGAATCTGACAAGTGCAATAATTATATGTCACTAAATCACAAAAGTATGTACTCCACGTTACCTAAATATTTGTTAAGATTCTAAAAATACAGAAGGTGGTCAGATTTTTAATGTTAGGCAGTAAATAATGTGAGTATCCTTTTCAGGCCCTTTTCTAAAAACCCACCACACAAACTTTCAGTAGGTCAAACACCCACAGCAAAGTACCATGTGCCATCTAAGAAAAACAACAGAATAGCATGGCAGGACAAAGTGTGAAGAGCATGCGCATCCCCTGAGCTCAGTTCTGTCTGCTAGGTGTTCAAGGAGGCTTTGCAGGTACCTGCACTGCTTTCCAGGCTTCAGTTTGCATTTCTTCCCCTCAGGCTGGTTGGCATCAAAGCAGCACTCGTCCTTACACTGGTCGCTGTAGCCACAGTCACATTCCTCCCCTTGTTCCACCATTCCATTTCCACAAATGGGCTGGCCAGATTCTGAGAAGAACGCACAGCAGATTAAGCATTAAGTGCACACATTAATTTATTTAAGATCAGCTATTCTTCAGAGCTTTGTAACAAAGACAGAAAGGAAATGATTGAATAGGTAAGGCAAAACAAGAGCAGAATGTGGAAATTGGGAGACCTAGATTTAACAAGGGTTCTACTAGGAGGTAGCCATGGTACCCCAACATGTTGCTTCCTCATAGGGGCCGATGCATCTTAATCAGCACAATGAGAGAATCTAACCTGACATCCCTTGTAAGGCCCTTACAGAATCAGCAAGTTGCTTGCTATTTAGGCCATGCTACATTGAGCTATATCGAACCATGCCTCTACTATTTATAACACACAAATGCAAACAAGGTTAGAGCTGCATCAACCAGGAACAAAATGAAAACTTTCTGTTACAGAAAATTCCAAATATACATAAAAGCAGCAAAAGGGCAGACACAACGAACTCCCACATCTATTGCCCAGTCTTGCCTTACTCCCCAACAACTCTTTTCTGGAGTATCTGTAAATATTTTAGGATCCATTTCAAAAGGATTAGCAAATTTCTTTTCTTTTTTTTTTTGTCTTTTCTTTTTTTTTTTTTTTGGTACTAGGGATCGAACCCAGGACGTTGCACTTGCTAGGAAGCACTTTGCCACTGAGCTACATCCCAGCCCAGATTTCTTCTTTTTAAATCATAACCATGATACCATTATCACATCTAGCAAAATCAACAAGATACTTAATAGCATCTAATAGACTGTCCACATTCAATTTCCTCAGCTGTCTCTTCACAATTGGTTTACCTGAATTAAGTTACAAACAAGGCTTTCCATTTGATTCAAGCATCTTTTACGTATAGATATAACAGATTCACTCTTCTCTTTTTGCTTTATGCCATTTATTCATTGAACACGTTAGGTAACTTTGTCCTGTGGAATGGGTGACCCTAACTATACTCAATAAGTAACATTTTAGATGTTCCTTAGTGGTGCTTCTCAGCTAGATCAAGTTGCTCAAGGGAACAAACATGCATTATTTCTTTTGTATTCCCTTGCAACCTAACTGTACTGGGCCCCATCTTGGTTAACTAGTTAGATAGTCCAGCCTAACCATAGTGAATGGTTTTAGAAAATATCTTCAGCTTTCTTCTCAAGCAATTTGGTTTTTGTCCATGAAGTCTTATGAAAACCGAATAGTGGATTCAATCTTGAGCACAGTAAAAACAGAAATAAACAAAAAAACCCTAGCAATGCTGGCTTTTGTAAGATCACAAAAATCACAGAACTTTATCATCTGCTGGGAATGACAAGGAGCAACAAATGCCTTTGTTTTCTAGAAAAAAAACCTAACTTCTCAGGATTTTGTGATTCACTAGAGACCCCAATCTGAGCAAAACCGACAAAGCCCAGGGTCTCTAAAGACTGCAACTTGTGCTCCTTTCTTTCTGTGGTGCTGAGTCAGGTGGAAAAGTCACAGCACAGCTTCAGATGGGAACTGCAGGAGCCATTTCAACCACCTCTTTCTTTCTTTTTTTTTTTTGGTCGGTCATGGGGCTTGAACTCTGGGCCTGGGCGCTGTCCCTCAGCTCTTCAGCTCAAGGCGAGCCCTCTACCACTTGAGCTACAGAGCCACTTCCTTCAACCACCTCATATACAGCACATCTGAATCTGTAATACTCTACAAAGACTGGATTTCCACTCAGAAAATTCTCCCCCACTCCTCCCTTGGCTGGTACTGGAGTTTGAACTCTAGGTCTTGGGCTCTCTCTCCATTTGTTTGCTTGGCTGGTTCTGTACCACACCTCCAGTTTGTCATTGTGCTAACTGGAGATGGAGTCTTAAAGACTTTTCTGCCCAGGCTAGCTTCAAATAATGATCCTTCAGATCTCAGCCTCCTGAGAGTTATAGGTATAAGTAAGTCAGCAGCAGCTGGCCCATTCTGAATCTGGTCTGTGGTGGTGGGATGTATAAACCTATACATGCAATGAAACTGTATAGAACTAAATACACACCAACAGAAATGAGAATATGGAAAACCTGGAAATGGGAAGATCTGTGGATTTTATCTATCAATGGCAATGTTGTGGCTATAATACTGAACTGTAGGTTTGCAGGACAGCCCCAGTGTGGGAAACTGGGTGAAGAGTATAGAGTCTACTGCTTCTTTTTACTGAACACGAGTCTACTATTAAAAATGTCAACTGAAAATAAAAGGTGGGATTTTATCTGGAAATCTTCCTCAATTCTTGTTTAGCCCATTGTGGGGTGCTCTTTATGAACCAATGTGACAAGTTCTCAGTATTTACTTGCAAGAAATATAATCTTGTAAAAAACTATAAGATGCAGCAGAATATAAACGCTGGATAAATGTACATACCAACAAAGCAGTTGTTTCTCTTCTTTTCTAGAACTTGGCTTATGTTTCTAATACTACACAGTGAGAATTTATTGTTGTTAAGTTTGTCTCCAGATGTTGCTCTTGCGTACATGATATAATTGCCATTCTCTTTCTGTCCTAAATTCTTAGATTCTCCTGGTGTGCACTCTGTTCCAGAATCATGCTGCCAAGTAGAAAGTTACAGAAAGAGGAAATAAAACAAGATTTACAGATCAGCAAAAAAAAATGGCATTTTCTCATTAGTAGACCAGCAAAAGCTGTAGACTCTCCTTTAGAAAGGATCTTACATTATTATTATTATTATACATATAGATATAGATATATACTCTTTTTGGTGCGGTCCTGGAGTTTAAACTCTGGGCCTAGGCACTGTCCCTGAGCTCTTCAGCTCAAGGCAAGCACTCTACCACTTGAGCCACAGCATCATTTCCTTTTTTTCTGGTGGTTAATTAGAGATAAGTGTCTCAAGGACTGTCCTGCCCGGGCTGGCTTTGAACTACTATCTTCAGATCTCTTAGCCTCCTGAGTATCTAGAATTACAGGCATGAGCCATCAGCGCCCAGATTTACATTATTTTATATTGTAAGCAGGAAATGTCTTAGAGGCCAATGTCACAGAAGATAAGGAATTGTGGCAGTCGAGCTATGATTTAGAACTTTGTAGATAGGCACTAAAATTGAGGACAAACTGTCATAAAAGCCTATTAAAAGTAAGCCCATCTAAACTCTAAAGTAGTAATATAACTACTTTAAAACTACTCAATATTATTCAAACTATATGGTAAGTTGCCAAGTAGTAGTGCTTTCCACCTACAATTTGAACTACTCAGGAGGCTGAGATCTATGTGACCATGATTCAAAATCAGTCCAAGCAAAAAGCCTGGGAAACTCCATCTCCAATTAGCCAGCAAAACGCTGGACTGGAAGTGTAGGAACACTGGCCTTGAGCAAAAAAGCATGGGGCCCTAAGTTAAAAAATTTTTACTTTTTTAAAATATATGTATTTTACATATATACAACATGCTAATACTAGTTTAGAGAAGACTGAGGTAGGAAAAAACAAGAGGAAGGAAACAAATACACAGAACAGGAACCTAAGACAGCTCATTTATTAGTACATAGGAAAGAGTAAAAATGACGATTAAGGTCAGAAACACAGTGGTTTAATTTAATGAAATGAAGAGCATTGGACACATACAGTACTTGACAGAATAAACAGAAGACAAAGTCTGAGTACACAGAAGTAGTCTCAAGTACTGATTACATACAGAAGAGACCAGAGCACAGCTATGTGAACTTTCCCCAAGAGTGCACTCTTATGTGATCACACTGAGCTCAGCAGCCCCTGCCCTCCTACAAAGTTTAAGGGTAAGATCATATCATTCAGCTCAATCATTCAGAACGATAGTAGAAGGGGCAAACCAAGGTCGTAAAATAATCCGACTTAATGAAACTCCTCTGGCCTGGAGCACTGCAACAGTGCCGCTCTCTAGAAGGTACCAGAACTCCAAGGCGTCCATCCAGATAATCACTGTTTTCTCCTCAACCAGGCCCAGGCTCACCCAAGTCCCTGCTGTGTATCCTCTGTCTCCAGATGGGCTTTAACAAGCCTTTACTGGGGTCTGTATTGGACCCCCTAAAATGTGATGAGAATTCAAATCAAGAGTAAAACTTCACAAAGAAAGTATAACTTAGTTTGGTAAGAAAACAGAAAAATATTTTGTATCACTGAAAATAAAACAGGCCAGACATTGTGGTGTACACCTATAATCCTAACACTCAAGAAGACCGAGGCATGAAGCTGGAGAGTTTGAGGACATCATGGTCTATCTACATAGAGAATGTGAGGCAAACCTGTGCTATATAGTATGAGACACTATCTCAAAATAAATAAATGAAAATTAAATTCATATTTACATTTATATTCGCAGTTTTTTAAAATCACTCAGCATAAAAAGGGCTGCTGAATTTTTTAAAACAAAGTCATGTGGCAATACTTACTGGAGATCCAAAGTTATGGCCGACTTCATGAGCGAACGTGATGTGAGAGACTTTGGGAGGCACGTGTGACCCGTAGTTCTGAACAGTGATAATCCCAGTGTTCAGGGACTTCTTCTTACCATCAGAGTACAGCTTGCTTTTCTCACAGATGCCTCCAGAGCTTCCTAATGCACAACAGAAGCTGTCAAATGAGTTACCTAGTCCCCACAGCCCCCAAGCAGGTAAATATGAACTGAAATCATTTATTAAATTAGAACAACTTAAAACACAATTGGTACTCAAATGTGTCAAATACTCAAAAGTCTCTTTAGTCCAAGATTAGGAAATCATTTCAAATAAAACATTAATGGCACCCAGAAAGAAACTTCCAGGACTGAATACACTGCCCTTATACTGGTTCTTCATTATCAATGTGTTTTCATTTAGCAAGAGAGTATTTACATTTCCTTTAAATCTGAATATATCAATATTTACAGTGAGTCAAAGCCTATACCTTTTTATCTTTTAAAATCTTATAAGCCAGGCATGGTGGTACATGCTGATGCTCCCAACTGTGTGAGATGCCCACAATGGCAACAAAAGGCTTGAGCAAGAGAGAGAAAGAGAGACAGAGAGAGAGAGACAGAAACAGAGACAGAGACAGAGAGACAGAGACAGAGGGAAAAGACAGAGATTAGTCATCTCTGAAAATTAACTCCAAAGGGTTAGGGATGTGGTTCAAGTGATAAGCGTGTCTAAAAAGCACTAGAGGGCTGGGAATGTGGCTTTGTGGTAGAATGCTTGCCTAGCATGCATAAAGCCCTGGGTTTGATTCTTTAGTACCATATAAACAGAAAAGAAACCAGAAGTGATGCTGTGGCTCAAGTGGTAAAGTGCTAGCCTTGAGCAAAGAAGCTCGGGGACAGTGCCCAGGCCCTGAGTTCAAGCCTCATGACTGGCAAAAAATAAAAATAAAATAAATAAATAGGGGCTGTGAAGGTAGCTTAGTGGTAGAGTGCATGCCTAGCATGCATGAAGCCCTGGGTTCGATTCCTCAGCACCACATAAACAGAAAAAGCTGGAAGTGGTGCTGTGGCTCAACTGGTAGAGTACTAGCCTTGAGCAAAAGCCTCCCAGGGACAGTACCCAGGACCTGAGTTCAAGCAAAAATAAGTACATAGATACGACAAAACTAACAGGACTTAAGAAACAAAGAACTCCTGCTCATCTGGTTGAACCACTACTAAATATCCCCATGCTACTGATCACATGTATGGTGTATAACATGTGAACACTGTTATATATTACAGACTGTGATAGACAATTTGCTCCAGGAAAGTTAGAATGAACTTGTGA